TTATCGGACTAAAACTTATTACTTGGGTTATATAGAAAGCAAATGAGAAGATACTCAAATAAAAAGAGAAAAAGAAATGGAGAAAAAAATGAATAATATACTCAAATACATTGATTACGTCACAGGCATGTAGTCGACAAAACTAGACCTTTGATAACAAGCAAATCACTTAGTCTAGTTTTAAGGGTTAAAGCAATCAAAAGTGTATGAGAATCTCGACTTGTTAAAGTGTGAACTTGTAAGAGTGAGATTTATCCAAACTAAGAAAGGTTAAGAATAGAATTGAATAAATTCAACTTACAATGCACCTCAAGAAAATTGAGTGAAAAATATAAATTTGAGGGGTGTGTATCTCTCGAGTAAGGTAATGATATATTTGACTACTATGGGTCAGGTGTTGAACCAATCACAATTTTAATATGCTGACATGAGTTTTCACACACACATACACACACACGTCAGATTATGCATGTAATAGGTGGAGATTTATTTAATTTTTGTACTGTTATAATTGTTCAGTTGTTTGATTACCAAATTCCAATCCTGAGACACGGCATGTTGTTGGACCGTGTTATACATAGAGTTGAGTTATATTATTTTTGTTTGAGGACAAATAATAGTTCGAGTTTGGGTGAATTTGATAAGTGGGTTTTTACACACTTATCTTACTATTAAAACATAGAAATTGTTAATTAATATGTTGAAATATAGTTTAATTCTATATAATTTATATTTTAAGGACAAGTGATGAATGTAGAAGAAATAAGGAGAAAGAAGTGAAAAATGACCAAAATGGAGGAAAATAAAAGTTCAGGGACTAAAGTGAAAATACTCTAACTTGTTTCTAACCTTATGATGAAGATTCGAGAGTGTTAGAGGTCAATTGGATGAAGAAATGAGTCAAATGGATGAAATATATTCAAGACATTATCACATATCAACTTTCAAGTTGAAAATTTTTGCACCGAATTTCAACCTCATATTGAGACCAATTTTTGACATGGAAAACGATCGAATTTGAAGATGATCTCTGAAACAAAGTTGTACTTCTTTGAGTTATATTTCCAACGTTACTTGAATCAACTCAATCGAATATTAGGAGAGAAAGTTATGGTTCAAACACGTTGCAAGGCGCACACCCTCGCCTATAAGAGAGACGCGTGCCTTACACCAAGAAAGTCTCGACTGAGGCTATCCAATTCCTTAAGGCTCGCACCCTAGCTTACACTAGGCGCGCACCTCAAGCCAAAACGTAAAATTTTTTCAATTTCCTTGTTTGATTGAAACGCGTATGGAAACCTAATTTTCTACCATATTTAAGCCCCAAAATGTTCCAAAACGCGGTCGATTAATCTCCTATCAGTTTTCTCTCAAGTTTGGCTCAAGAAATCAATAGAAGGCTAAAGAAATTGGTGAAGCATGGGAGGAACTCAATTGGATATGGTGATTTCATATCTATTATTTCATGTAACTGGTATTTTCTTGCTGAATAATCTTAGGATTTAGACTTTTCTTCTCATGAATTTATATTGAAATCGATTTAATAACTACTAGATTTTTTATGAATTCAACCATGCCTTTTGTGATTTATCCACTCGACAGGGTCAAGTTTTTCTCCCACCTCGAGAGAGTTGATGCAGACATCCTAGATACTATAATTTTTTATATATTGTGGATTTGCTTTTATTATTTACGTTTCTATTATTGGGCTTATATTATTGGGTTGACCCAAACCCTTTTTACTAGAAGGTCATATTTTTACTATTTATTGGATTTTCCATTGTAATTGGAACAGATAATGAATGAATAAAATTGAGATGGCGGCGACCAACGTTTTTTCCCATTTTCCCTTGACTTTTCTTTTCTTCTTCGCTGGCTTCTTTCTCTGTTTTTCTTCTACTGCTTATAAGTTCTTGGCTTGAATTTCATTTGATCATACATCATTGTGTGACATTGCTTGATTATGGAAAAAAACGCTTGAGACATTTGTTTTCTTTCCTCTTTGTATATTTAAGGAATGTCTTCAAGTTGGGGAAGATGATGCAAACCTTCTTTTTGTTTCCCTTCCACAATTTAACTTAAAATGAAGGTACAATTATTTTTCTAGTTCAGTTAATTTTATAATGATTTACTACATGAGTGTTTGAGAATATTAATTCCTTGTTTGATCGCTATTATTTTGAAAATTTTGAGTTTTAAATAGTGATTTTTTGGAGATTATGGTTAAAAAATAGAGAAAATTTTTGGATTACCATGTAAATGTGTGATTAAAAATGAGTATGAAAATTAAAGAGTTTTGAAATAATGGTTATCAAATAAGAGCTAAAACTTGAGATTCTATCTTTAAAAAAGTGTCCTTATTAAGAGGAATAGTTCAAACTTTTATATGTTGGTTATGTTTTGGTATTTAACTAATGTGAAATTTATTCTTTGACATGTCTCCCAAGATAGTGGCTCATTTGAACAAATCAATATTGAAATTCTTGTACTCATTTTTTGAGTTTTAATCGGATTGAATTGCTCATTGAAGTTTAATAAGCCCTGAACCATATTAAAACTGAAGTTCTATCTTGAAATATCAACTTTTTTAAGGGGAGTAGTCCCAAACCTTTATATATTGATCTATATTTCAGATTTTACTGATACAGAATTTATCCCTTAATAAAGAAGAAGGCAATGATCGGTACCTCCCGAAGGGCCGTAGCTTGCCTACGGGTGACTGGATGCCAATATTGATGCCTTCAAAGAACAATTTTAGATGTTTGAATTGGTACGGACAATTTAAAGTGTCGACACTAGCTAGAAGGCCATAATCTACGCAAAGATGAGAGGGCGTCAATGTGCCAATCGCACTTGTCCCTTACCTCCTCCTTAAGCTGGCGATGTTGCGGGAGATACCCTAGCAGTAGGCTCGACAATTTTCTGTTCACTAAGACTATTAATATATCGACAATGAAAAATTGTTGACGAAAATATTCTATCTTAAAGCGTGAGGACCAATTTATAACTGGAGCCGTCATCTCGGGGACCAATTGCTGCAATTTTTAAAATTGAAGTGTGTATTTTTTTTTTTTTTTTTGATATCCAGGTATCCCAACTTACACCAGACTATGTCCTGGACCACCCATCCCCGGCCCCTCAGTGATGGGTGGAGGTTAACCGCGGGATATGCCCAAGTTGACCAGGGTCCGTGTACTCTTTATACTCCTAGCCCCAAGGGAGCTTTCCTCCATGGATATTATATCACCAAACTGCTCCACCCAAATTGAGTATTACAACACTCAGCTGCTCCATCCAGGAATCGAACTCCTCACCCTGAAGTTGCAAGCCCAGCAATGCCCATTCTTTGCCAACTCGAATGTGCCCCGGAGGCAGTGTGTATTATTTATGGCATGATTGGTAGCTACAGCCTACATTGCACAAAACTGTACAAGAAACTGACATTTTTTAAATTTTTTTTCACACTTTTTCCTCTACTCAACTCTATCAAGTTGACCATGACAATGGAAACACACCCGTGTCCTTAAGATTGACGTGAACATAGGGATAAAATTTGCAAAAACACAAGGTTGTTTTCTTCGTATTCCAGTTTTTAGTTTTTAATTTATTTTGGATTTAGTGTTTTGATTGTCCATTTTGCGATTGTTGAAAACATATTCTTTTTGTTGTTTTGAAAAGTTGTTTTAATAAAATAAAAAACGAGTTTACTTTCTAATTTTGAAAAACTGAAAAACTGATTATTCAATATATATATATATAGTTCTTTTACTTAAATAACAAAGTAAAAGCAGTTGCCATTGTTGTTAATGCATTGAAATTCCATACTGGTGACTTGGGTTTGAATCTTATCTACCTACCAATTTATTTGAAAAATTTTGTTCTGTACATATAAAAAGAAAATTTCGTTGTATTGAATTGTAGTGAAACTGTATCTAACTCGTGACCTTTAGAAAATCTGTGACTCCCCCAATTAAGCTATCCTGCTATTAGCAAAATCAAATGGTTTTGAAGTTTTGGCTTGATTTTAACTAAAAACAGAAAAAACAACTTTTTTGACCTTTTTCGTTTTCTTCGTAAATTTTAAACTCGTTTTTGGAAATTCATTTCTGAAAATAAATAAGTAAACATATTTTCAATGTTTTCGAAAAGTGAAAATGATTTGAAAATAGCAAAAAATACCACTTTTTGAGAACAGGATTGACACGGCAAAGTTCATCATGAGGCATGATGACAAAAAATTCCACCTACCCTGTCCCAATTCTTACTTTTTATTTTATTTTATTATATTTATATTTTAAATTTAAATTATATTTAATAAATAAGTAAATAAAGAAGTGAACATCCGAAAAATAAAGATATTTTAATGCTGTCCGTTGTCCCACCCAGCCGCGTCTCGTGAAATTTCCCCAGGGAGGGCCACCCCGCTCCCTTGCCATTCTTAACCATGAGTTCTATCCCAACGACATTGTTTTATGGTGACCTGTGCTTCAAAAAGCTTGCATCTAATTCGAAATGATCAAAATGCTCTGGCGTTGTTATTTTAACAAACGTGATAATCTCAGACAACCCATAATATAAAAACATAAAGAATAAACTTAAACCGGTTAAAGAAATCAAAATATATTTCTAGTATTGAACTAGAGCTGTGAATGTGAGTTGTGTCCTCCAAATTAAGTCCACATATATTTACACAAAACAAACAGCAAATACATTGGTTCCAAGCATAGGACACAATCACGTATCTAAATCAGAAAGCTTTATGCACACATACAAGTAGATTAACCAATGAGTTTTACTTTTTTTTTTCCTTCCAAAAATGAAACACTACATATATAATCAAGCTCCTTTCGACAATCCAAAAAGACAAAAAGTTTCTACTATCACTTCCATAAGTGCATCTATTTCCAACAAAACCGAGTAATAAACCAAGAGAACATGCAAGCAATGCACATGAAGAAGTAACTTGTGCCAGTCGGTCATTCATTTTTCTAATTTATCATTTATTTCGGGCAATATCCAAAACGGATCACAATGCATGATATATCATCCTTACTCTTTCTTGTCAAAGCATCCAACGTTAACTGCTTCGCTGCTTGTTGAGGATCTTTAATGGATCTTACCTTATCAACTGCCTCTTGATTGGCCATCACCTGCCGATGAAATTGCTTATATGAACTAAAAAGTGCACGCGTAAAGGTGAGCTATATCTTTATGCTATTTAACTATGAGTCAAGGAATCACTTCATGTTTTCATTGATAGCTTGTACTTTTCCTTTCCTCACAAGATAATTTAAAGGATAGAACGTGATTATTCACTTCCACAAAAGAAATACATACTGTAGAATTAGTCACGACCTGATAGTAAAGTAATAAAATAATCGTGCCAAGTAAATATTTTATGCTTTTACCCAATGAGAATGTAACCTCAGCAGCATCAAAGCTATAATATGATAAAATAATCATATGAATACAATACTACTCTATATGCAAGCTAGAGCTCCCTAAGTCATATAGAAGACGAGGATGGAGGCCAAAGAATGCAAGTACAACTTGTATAATTTACGAAGTAATGAAAATTGACCAGTGGTAATATTAGGTATTGTTGCTAAATCTATCTGTAATGGCCATTCCACATCAAAATTTGAGAAAACATATAACAATGAAGAATACATCAGTAGATGTAACAACTAGTAATCATATGTTCCGTTTTAAGACGTTGAGAAAGAAAACGAGTTAACATAAGCCAGCTTATTTACTAGAATAAAACAGAACAATCATCTTATGATGTAGGATCTCAATGAAGATAGTTTGTTAGTGTTAATTCCAAATCTTAAAACCCAATAAAAACAATAATGTGTATTTCTAGACAATGAAATTTCACTATTCCAACATAGGAAAATCTACGTGACCCAATTAATTGCTTTCAAACACTCGACATTTCTTAGATGCTTTCAATGAAGTCATGGAAAAGAACTCTTGGTAACTCGTTTATTGCTACTAACAACTGCTGCCGTAGGCTTTATTTCCTTTGTTATTTCAAAGAATAAATTGCGAGACCTCATTTATTTGCATTAAAAAATTGCCAATGATGCAAAAGAAAGTTCCTTGATGAAATGGTACAAGACTGACCTTCCATAAGCCATCACTTGCCAATATAACAAACTCTGTTCTAGAGTCAATGCGCACATTACGAACATCAGGCTCTGAACTCAAATGTGCTTTTAGATTTTCATCTCCAAAAGCTCGCGCGACTGCAAGTTGGCCATTGACCCGAGGCACATCTCCTGTAACAGGAAGTTAAAAGTTTAGTGTGATGGGCACAAATAGAACTCCCCGATAAATGCAAGATATGAGCATGCTTAAAAAGTTCACTTATAACTCCCGGATGAACGTAAAATATGAGCATGTTTGACAAGCTTAAAAAGTTCGCTTGCAAGAAACTTAGCTTGCACATAATTAAATTAAGGTCTTTAAATAAATAATATTTTTGATAGATCAAATTTGAAGTAAGTAAGTTACTTATTTAGATAGTATGATAAGAATTACTCTTTCAAAAAGTAATTTTTTTCATTTAAAAAAGAAGAAAGTAATCCAAGCCTATTTGGACCCACAATTACTTCAAAGTAACTTCACTTTTTTCATATGATTAGCCAGACAAGTTCCTTTTCTGATTATAAATCCAAGACATATTTTTGTCTTCAAATATCTCAAGGAAAGGAGCCAAATAAATATAAATTATTTACCAGGAAGAGTAGTCACGAAACCACCCCGTTTCTCAATTCTCCTTCTTTCGCTGTGTGGCTCATGGTCCACAGTAAGTTGATTGGCAGTTCCATCCTTGCACAAGACAGCTCGGGAATCACCAATGTTTGCCACCCACAGGTCTTTTCCATCAATTACGATTGCAGTCACTGCTGTTGACCCACCAGGTCCTAATTGCATGGAGTTCTCAAGTATAACTTCATCAGTCGAGCGGTAAGCATTTTTTATGGCAGTCTTAGGGTCCTCCCAAAAATTAGGCTGCACATGTTAGATAAAATTAATTATGATTCGTGGAATTTGGACCAGGTGACAGCTAACAGGCGGGTGCAGGAAGAGTTTGTTGTGGAAAAGGATAATCATTGGAGAATATTACAAGGATTACCATTTGATCATCATAGATACACCGTCTTTCTTTGGAAGTGAACAAATTTCTCTTGGGAGCATATAACTCAATAAACTTAAATAAATAGTAGAAGTAAATTCTCCCATCCAACCCTATCTTTTAGTCTACCTGATACGAGAATGCATCAAAAAAAAAAAAAAAAATGATACGAGAATGCATCAAAGAAAAAAAAAATAATAATAATAATAATAATAATAATAAATTGAGGACTGTAGAACCCTCATGATTTCTTTCTCTGTAGTAACTCAATTTGATGTATCTGATGTGTGAGTGGGGATAGATTTTAGGAAAGAAACCGTGACTTTTGAATACCTTCCTACTTTTAATCAGCTATGTACTAAGTAGAAAGCTTCCATTTTCTGAATTCAACTCACGGAAGGTTTCCATAACAATTCATTTATTGAATCATTATCTTCATCAAACTATCTATTTATATAATTAGTCCACTTAATTTAGCACAACGTACACAACCTACATGTCGGACCTTGTCACAGTGGATATGACCCTTAGACACCTCCATGATGCTAATGCACAACAAAAATTTACCAACAAAAGTATAATTTTAATTTCATAATATGTAATAATTCTGAGAAATTGATTACTTTGACAATTTCCAATGTTAAATTTATCTCAAATATAATTGGAATGTCCGAATATTAGCCTACTACTTTCAAGAATGATGCATCCCCGCACCCATGTCCACGGTTGCATGTACGACACTTTGACCTTACCATTTCCAACACTCATACCTGAGAACAAGCAACATAGGATGGTAAATCCAGTTCTCACACTTCCATGAAAGCAACAAATGGAATGTGTAAGCATTTTCATTCACCAAACCCGTCTTTAAATACTTTTACTGGGTGCTAGACAGAATTGTGCAAAACTTATTAAAAAAAAAAGAAGGTAAAACTACAGACCACTGATCAAAAGCACCTGCCTTTGTAGGCTAGTGTCAGTTGGATTAGGCTAGGTGGGGGAGGTGAGAGTTCAGAGCTGCAAAATCCTTGGTGCCATGAAGCACCGACTTCGGCAACAATGTTGGTTTCTCTGAAGCTTTGCGTGAATGTTGACATTCATCAGCAAGTAATCCAAATATTCATCATAAGCACTCTGATCTAGACTGAATTTCATTCTCACTGTATTTCTCTCTTTTGAAACATTCTTCATTATTTCCTTCCTATCACTTTATATCTCCTATGAGTTCCCTTCCTTTTTTTTTATATTTCATTTATTTAATTATTTTGGGAGGGAAGCAGTGCCGTGTGTCACAGCATCAACTTTCTAAACTTCGAATACCTAAAGTGCCATGGGAGCCGCAACATTTTCTGGAATGATCTATTCTTTGGTTTTATATTTTCCGATAGAACATTTGTTATATAGTATTCTCCATTTTTATTTATATGCTCCAAACTTAAAACAAACAAAATATTATAATCCATTTGACTTGGCAACAAAAGGTGAAAATAAACTTCATTTGAAAGAACAGATGAGTAGCACACTCGAATAACTAGCAATAATTACATTATAATAAGAGAACTTCTACTTCAACCATCTCAAGAGCTTTTCTTGTGGCAAAATGGTGGAACATAAGTCAGGCGCATCACAACTCACAAGTAGTTCAAGTGCAATTTGCAAACTCAATTTTCATGGTTCATGGATCTTCTAGTCCCCAGCTCACTCATTGGGTGTAAGGCCACCACCATTGACCAGTAGATCATGCAACTTAAGGCAAACATCACATAGAGTTCTAAGGTGTTTTCCTGGATCAACTATTTTGTAATAATCTCATATTACAATCAGACGAACTCTTAAGAGCAAGAATTTTTCTTTTTCTTTTGCTTTTGGAATGTTAAGAACGAGTTAGCCCAAGTAAATATCATGAACTTTTAATGAAATTTTGAAAGTGTCTCCAGTTCATCTGGTGGTTTACTCGAACTATGGCTACTCACCTAGTGGCCAGAAACAGTTATGATATTGCTTTAGCATTTTATTCCTAGCGTCGATGAGATGAAGTCATCTAAGCACATGGATATGGAAACAATTTTAACCCTTTTGAACATGCTTTATATTACTTTCAGCTAGTAGAAGAGTTATTTGCCAGATTATGAGTACTTGACTTCCATAAATCATCACAGATCTTATGCAAGAGAAGAAATGTTCATATTGGCATAGCGTGGCAAGGATAGTACTCCTAAAGATTTTCTCAAAGTTGTGTAATCAATGGAACTACTTATTTTGCCTGTCATTTTGGGCTATCCATTCCCTGAGGGACATAAATTCCTCTTGATCATATTATTGGGATGTTGATGTTTGGTTTTTCTCTCATCGTCCTCATTGCTGAGAGAAACCATGATAGTTTATCCCGACAAGATGGTATGGATAATCTTATACTCAAAATGAAAGAAAATGTCTGATTTTTCATTTAGATTGTTCTTTCTTTCAGTTATGATATGAGGCAGTGCCCTGCTCCTTCAGATTCTGCAATGTGACTTTAGAAGGATAGGGTATACTTCTTCACTCTGTTCCTACCAATTTCTTATTGAGAAAGACATAAATACATTCCATATTTTAATTCTTGTGCAAATTCAATTTCAATGTCAAATGGTCCAAAGATCACATTCTTTTTCAAATTGTGCAACATTTTGAGGTCAATTATACCTACAGGATCATTCCTTCACCACTTACAATCTTTGATTGCATATAACATCCAAGAATTATACAATTCCTATTAGCATGATTCAGTGTAAAAACCAACCCTATAAACAAAAAATTCCATTATGGTCCCCAAAAACTTAGCAAATTGCCCCCTTATGATATGCAAGGCGCTCATTGATTACCATCTCATTTGCAGGCACCTCATGAGCTTTTTGAAAACACTGGTTTTCACCTTTTCATATCTAGTTATTTTCTTCAATGGGGCTTTCCATATCCAAGAACTTCTCAATTCAAGTTGTATCTCCAATCATAGCTTATCATGTTCAGTTGTTCCTAATTTTGTTCTATTTGCATATACCAAGTCTATTCCATCATTTCAATTCTTCAACGTCGTTGTATGAACTGACTAATTGTAGGTAAAAGTTAAACTTCCTGCACCAGTACTTCAATCAAAAGACAAGAATTGAGAAGGCCTGCTAAGAATTGCAGAAGTAACAAAGAAATGCAATAGAGGGAAAAAGTCATAAACAGATTAAAATATACCTCTTCAAGTATGTTGTTGAAGAGATTATCCTTTAAATAACTCGGTACACGATCACCAAGGTGACCATCAAAAATCGCGAACAAACCGACGGCATGGCCATTCTTTTTCCGATACTCGGCCACATGATAATCCTCCATGTTGTGACCCGACTGTCCTTCCACCAAGTGGAATCCATGAGAAACTTTATTAGTACATGATGATGACTCAAACTTACTCTTCCCTTTTCCAGTGTCCGGTGAAGATCCATCCAAACAAACAGCTTTCTACCAAATCCCACAAAACATAAAAATCAAACAAGGTCCTTGACACATCGCTGATTATGAAAAACAACAACTAAACAAGAACTATTGTATTAAAACTCAAGAAAATTGAATTGATTATAAGAATTTAAAAAAATTAAATAGCAGTTCAAAACTCCGTCTTTTGCATATAGTTCTGAAGAGGTTACCTTGATCACGCGCACAAAACTGCTGCTGGGCTTTTTCTCCATATCTAAACTGCAAATAGTCAAAACTACTCATACAAAACCTGCATAAAATCCAAAATTTTTCATGTCGGTATACAAAATTTAAACACTTCTCGATCAAAAAATAAAGGGCAAAAAAGGTGCGTTCTCGATTGATTTTTGTAAACAAGTTTTTCAGACAAGGCAAAGTCTTAGTCTTTATTTATGTTCATGTGAAAGAGAAAACGGTCTACTCTCGGCCAATATATCAAGATAATACCAGGAAATTGCTTGTGCAAGTTTGATAATGGATTTATGCAATTTATTGAGGGAGTTGTCGTGTGGTGGGGGCGCCGGAATTGATGAAAGTCGTTGATAAAATCAAAGTCTAAGCTGAAATTAGTGCATTTCCATTTAGGCCCTTGGGATTTTGAGAAATTGGGAATTGGCCCCTTCAAATTTGAAAAATTAGAAGTAGGTTTAATTTTGATGGGCAGTTGACCTTAGCCACCAAGTTTGTTCTAGCAATATATGCAAGTTTGGTTGGACCGTCGATGAAAACAAGAGTCTTGTCTTGAAAATAAGATATTTAACAGTAAGTGCTTATATTTCATATTTACATTATAGGATAAATTGCTGATTTCGTCCCAATCTTTCTCAAAAGTTGCAAGTATAGTTCCAATCTTTGATTTTTGGCAGCAGACAGGTGTAGCATTGTATTGTATTGTATTGTATTGATAGTTGATCTTCTTTTCTATCTTGAAAAGAAGAAGCAAGTTTGGACACATGACTAATGTGAGGAGACATCTAACAGATGAAGAAATAGTGAATTTCACATTTCTCATTGTGGAGTTAAAAGGAATTGAAATCTCTAATTAAAGAACGATGTAACTAGAATGAAAGATATTTTCCTATCAATATAAGTCACTTAAATAAAAAGTTGAGCATTTTTTAAAGGTGTTTATAAATTGTATGAATTATAAATACGTAAATTTAGGGCTGGACATGGTCTAGTTTGGTTTGGTTCTAGGAGAACCTAACCGAATCTATTTTTGGGTATTTAGTGAGTGGAACCGTTTGAGTTTGACTCCGTTCAGTTCTTGGGTTCTATAAAATAATTAATTTTTTAATATTTATAACGCTACATTAATTCAATTAATGACATATTCAATATTAGCTCTTACAAAATAACATAATCCAATCACGTGATATCTTTTGTGCATCTTTTTGTTGAGTTCTTCATGAATTAAGCTGTTAAAATTACAGGAAAATGAAGATAGCGAGCTCACTATAATCCTTAAAAAAATAAAAGAGCCAGTTCGGGAGGCACTGTTGATGCCAGATGT